TATATATATATATTATATATACATATACAATATTACACAAAAATACTATACACAATTACAATGTATAGGGTGGCCCAAAAGTCAGTTGACCGAGATACAAGAAAGTCAGTTTAATCGATTAATTAACCTAACCTTTTGGACACGTTGTATTTTAATTTAAAAGTTTGTACGTCAAATTTTAATTTAAACATATATATTTATATTATTATTTTAAATTATTTTTCATTAAAAAATAAATTGATATATAATAGTCTTATATTCATTATTTTAATCTTTTAAATAATAATTCTGTAATTTTTAAACTAATTCGCTAATTTCTAATTTGTAACATCTTGGATTAATCAATCAACAGATAATCATCATTTTGATAAATAAATTCAATCGTTTAAGATAACCAGATGATGATTAATTTACTATCATCATCTGAAAAAATTATAAATTATTATTTTATCTATAAAAATTTTACTCAAGATTTTAATGATAAGGATGATGATCAATATTAACACCATCCTTATCATCTTAAATAAAATATTGTATACGTTGATATATATGTGTATACATTTTATAATTAGCTTAATTATTCCTTAAGATGATGATGATGATGATGATGATGATGATGATTACTATCGTGTTAACAGACTTTAGTGTAAAAGAATTAAAGAAATTAAATAATCAACAATAGAATGACAATGATATTGATGATGATTTTCATAATTTTTATTATTTTAAAGGTTAATTATCATTATAAATAAAATAATTTTGAGTTAAAATTTGTATATATTATATATATTTTGTAATTACATTAGATTATTATTATCATCATGATTTTCATCATCATCAATTTGATTAGAAATAATTTTTATTTTTATAGAATTTATATAATATTAAAATTCGTATGCAAAATTTATTAGAATTATATAAAAATACAAAAAAAAATGTGAATAATGTCGCTCGCTAATGATGATGACTCCAGAAAAGTGATTATTTTTTAAATTCTTATCACTAAAACTAATTTAAATTTTTAAATTAAAATGATTATAATTTATTTTGTGATTCGTTTAGTCAATCCTAAATAATTCGTTATATGATTTCCAGTTAGAAATTGTTAGAGCGTAACTAATATCTCAACAAGTGAATTGAGATCATTTTGGGATCACGATCTACAGGTTGAGAAGTGAAGACGTAGTGTAAACTGTTTTTACGTTTTATATTGCGATGTTTTAATAGACTAGAATATCGTTTTTTGACTAAAAGTAGTTAGGAAAGACTGAAGCGTGTTACTGAAAATATATTATCGTTTTAAGCATTATAAAAATAACTTAATGATTCGAAACATCTCATATCGAATCGTTAAGCTTTTCAAAGTTGGCGATAACGATTTGGCATAGAGGTGCTTTCGCGGATGATTAATAACGATCAATGAAGGTGCCTACGCAAGAGGGAGCTTCTACCGATCGATGTTAATTCTACTGCAGTTATAGTCATGGCGGAGTACGAATCTGCTAGCTGGGCCATCTTCAAGTTTCTCTCTCTGGGATTTGTCATTGCTTTCGGGAGTGCGGGAAACACTTTGGCCATTTATGCATTCTGTAGAAGCGTACGTCTCAGACGATCTCCTTACGTCCTCATGGTTGGTTTCGTTTCTTTAGATCTGATTCGCGTCTGTGTATGTTTCCCTGTCATATTTGTTACCGTCCTGGTACAAAGATTTCAATGGAAGTACACCAGTGATCTGTGTCAACTGATGGCATTCACTAATTTATTCTGTGTATTCGGTAATTCTCTTATCATGCTAGCCATAGCTGTGGATAGATACGTAGAAACTAAGTTTCATCTGTTTCATCGAAGGAAACTAGGTCATGTTCTTGGACCCGCTTTCCTGCTTCTAGTTTGGGGTCTAGCTTTTCTCTTCTGTTATCCCGCTGTTTATGGAATACCTGCATTACCAGAAATACCATTAGAAGATCATTGTACCTTCCCCCATTATTACTACACTGATGATACTGACATTCTGGGGCTGTTGTTTAGTCTCTTGATTGTGATCTTTCTGACAAACTTTATATATTGCAAACTTTTTATATATCTTAGACACAGGAGAAGAATGAGACCTATTAAATACGAACCTGCTACGAGTGAAAATTGGTCTTTTGGGGATGGTGCCGTTGCATTTCGTCTGCGACAGAGATGGTTAGCCGCTTCCTTATCAACGTCTTCCGGTAACAGAGATATTCGTCATTTCCGTTTAGCATGGAGAAATCATTTACCTAGAAGAAACAGTAATTTAACAAAAACTTGTTATCTTATTCATTTAATTTTTACTATAATGTGGCTACCATATGTAACGGTAGCATTTCTATATACGTTACAAAGGGAAGGGAAAATAAAAAGAATACCAGATTGGTTAGAAGTATTAGCCACTTCACTAACTTACCTACAAGTTGCAATAACACCATTTGCATTCTTCTCACTTTCTAGATTATCAAGAAAGAGTTTAAGATTTACAGGAAGGCAATTCAGCGGTTAAAAATAAAAAAAAAAAAAAAAAGTATATCTTTCATTTTTCTTGCACTTTTATCTAACTTAAAAACTTTTAGAATTCACACTAAAGCTGTCCTCACTGTATTATTGCTAAAAGAAGAGCATAATTCTCACTACCAAGAGCCATTTTATAATGGGACCACACATTAAATTGCTATTTTTTCAGCGTGAAAATTAAAACATTACTCCCGTTTTGACTGAAATTTTCGAGCAAATTATCCATCCGCTTCCTATTAAAATTTTATCTCGCTTTTAAAAAAGGACAATAGATAAATATCAAATGATTATCTGTGATGTCGAAAGGTGATAGACGCTACGGGTATTTTTAGCGTATTTTATGAATAAGATAACATTAAATTCTCCTTTTTTTTCCTAAAAGGTGCTAACTTCAACACCAAAAAACAATATGTCTTCCGTTTACAAACATCTACCATGTGTATAATATATTAAAAATCATGTTTAATTCTAGGGTATGAGTGAGTTCTTGATATATTATAAAAAATATAACAAAATAATATAATTCTTTCGTTATAATTTTTAAAAATNAAATGAAGTTAGAATATTAAAAAATTAGCAACATTAGATTAAAAAATCTCATAATGAATTACTTAAAATACAGGAAGTGAATCTGAATGATCCATTCTAAACCTAGTTAAAAATTTAGTTTTTTCTAGTAGAATTGGTCTAAGAATAGTCTCTTATTAAAAGGGTTAATATGGTGAATATGATCATTTTTGTTCAATGATATGCATAATTGCAATGTTATTACCTTGCATTAATCTATAATTTGTTATATATTAATAGTAAATGGTTCTTTCTGTTCATAAGTATAGAATGATGCTACAGTTTAAGAAATAAAACTAAAGTTATTGTGTAAAACAATCAAAGTTTTTATTGTTAATCAGTAATTTTTAATGTAATATTATCATTAGTAGAATGAAATATTTTAAAATTAGAAAAGTTTCTATTGCACATGTTAATCAAATTTATTTTTTAAGTATGGAATTTGTTTTTAAAATATAAAATTTTATTTTCTAAAGTAAGAAGATCAATTGCCAGTTTAAGAACAATTTAACATTTTTAATAATACTCTCTTACAAATCAGCCAAATATCTGTTATATTGAAGCTTTTACTAAATAAATATACAATACTTTAGTATAAATTCCAATAAAAACAGATGTTCATTTGTTCATTTGTAATAATAATTTGGTTTAAGTGTAAATTATGAGAAACCTTCTCACTTCAAAGAATTGATTATATGAAAGTAAATTCATATAATTAAGCTTAGTTTACTTATCAAATTATCAAAGTGATCTTTAAATAACTTTTATAACTTTTTAAATTAATTTTAGCAAGAGATCTATTTTTNGTAGAATGAAATATTTTAAAATTAGAAAAGTTTCTATTGCACATGTTAATCAAATTTATTTTTTAATTTGTTGCTTTTTCATCTAGATTAAAATTCCTTTAATATTTGAGAATTATTAAAAACTACAGATCAACAATAAAAACTTCCTATTTTACTATATTATTATTATTATTATTAATAGGCTGTTTTTAATTTTTACATATTATTATTATTCTTTATTTTATTTTTTCAATATTTACTTCAGGTATATTAAGGTTTTTATTTTTATTTTCTTATGTAATATCATTTTATGAAATAGAAGGTGGTTGAAAAGTTAGTTAACATTTCTAAAGACTAAATTTCTGTCTTATTCAATAAAAATTGTTCAATACACAAATTATAACATTTTAAATGCAGTTTATAATTTGTATTCTCAGTCTACTTGGAATATGTAAAAAAATCTAGTTAACTGATTTTTGGGCCATCTTGTATATTTAGTGTTTTTATTTATATTAAACAACAAATAATTTGAAGTTTTACATTCCAGTGAATATATACTCCAGTTTACAACGTATAACAGAATAATTATACATCTGTTTTTGTAATGAGAATGTAAAACAATCTTTTATAAAAGTCATTACCATGAAATCAGCTTTATTTTCTAATCATGTGATAAGTTTAAATCATTTTGTACAGTTACAACACCAGCTGATAAAATGTAAATGTTTAAGATTTAAGTAATCACTGGATAGTTTCAAGTAAGCAAAACATCATTTGTTCAACATCCAATACCTATTGATAGTCAAGGAATATGATGATAGTTGTTGTAATAAAGTAGATAAATTCTTAAAATTGTATAGAACATGGAATATTCTTAAAACTTCTATGTATGCTAATTAGAAGTTATCTGTATTCTCCTCTATTCTCTACACAAATTTTAATTTATTTTCCATTTCTAGAAATTTTCCATGTTTATGGTTGGAAATTGTTAAAACTAGTTGTTATTTGGGATTGGGAATTGAACTGATATAAGGTGGATTTGAGAAATTTTCTTTCATAATATCTGAAGCAAATTGCACATTCTTAGACTCGGATCTTATCATATTGGTTCTAAGATATTCAAATGATGAATCATATAGTATGTTGAACTATACTTCATCCATTATATCTCTGACTGAATTTGTCATTGAGATATTCTTTATCTGGGAAACTCAGGATACACTCTCATGCGTAAGAACTTCATGGTCACTATGTAGACCAAATTCTTTTTCTTTCAAACAGAATTGAGGTCTATACATTATACTTATGCAACTCTTCCGGACAACCATTAATTATTTACTATCTTATTCATTCTTTGTTAATTTAATTGAATGTTGAACAAATTTTGTCTCACTTACTCAGAACTTTACAATGATGCATTGATTTTAATCTCGTGCATTTCTGTTTCGTTTTAACTTTTTGCAAATGTACATATTCAAAATTTTAAGCCAACAGAAATGATTTATGTGCCAATTCTCATTTTATATATTATAATCTTGCATTTTTAAAAATCTCAACTTAGTTAAGTAACATATACTATTCTCATTTACTCGTAATATTTCTGGTAACTTAAGCTATTTGTTACAATGTACAAGTTGTACATTAAAATATGTTTTACTTATTTATGGTACATTAATGAGCTATCTGTTTCTTAATTGTAAGTTTTTTATGCTTATTTTTAGATTTTGTATATAATAATTCAATGAATCAAAATTTAATATTTGAGACTATGTTTTTTATATAAATTGATATTTATAGTTTCTCTTTGCAAATGATTTATTAAGAATACCATTCACATAATATATGATATATATTCTTATTGATTCATTCTGTACTGTACATTATTTTACAAAACTTACCCTATGATGTTTTAAATTAAGTAGCAAATACTACTCACAAAGTATTTACTTAATATTCTAAAGGTTTTCATGGGACTCACTTAAAAGTCATTTTTTTCTTTTAAAAATTCAAAAAAAGAATGTGATTTTAATAAGTACAAAGTAGAGTTTCATACAATTCAAAATACTCATTTTTTATTGCATTTTATACACAAAGATTTGTTTTAAAATATTCATAAATATACATAATTATATACTTGTGCAGCATGACATTTTTTCATTATACATTATAATATAGTATTGTATATAGCAGCTTTTTAATGTGCCACTATAAAATATGACAATTCTGTAATTATTTTTCAAAATATTTAAATATTTGTTAAATATTTCCAAAAAATAAGAATAAAAATAATTAAAAAAAATACTGGTGTTGCATATAGACTGTGCTATATAAAATTAAAAGTAATGATGTTTTTAAATATACAATTGTACTTAAATCATTAAAAAAAAAATCTGGTACCTAAATGTAATATCATTTATTGTGATAAAATTTTTGTTTTTTTTTTTTAAATCTATTGTATTGAACTAATTGGAACATTTTAGTTCCATTTTACATACATATCTGTATTTTAAATTAATTGTTGCTGTAAATAAAGTATGCAAAAGCCTTATTTAACTTTGTGTATTCATTCAAATTAATTCTTAAAAAGTAATTAAAATTGAGAAATTTTTATGGAGTTTGAAAATTATTTTATAATATAAAATTATATGAAATCTAGGGTTTTGTCTAAATTAATTGGAATACTGTTTGGTATAGCAAAATATTTGAAAATTTAATGTCTTCCCCGCTAAATGGGGCATTTTTCTATAGTTTTGTATATATAAAATAGAAAAGTAACTAAATGTATTTGTAAGTATATAAGTTCTAAGAAATGAAAAGAAATATATAATGACCAATACCACTCTACTTCCAGTTTAGTTTAATTGCTCTAAGTTTAGTTTAATGCTTTATTACAATTGAACTACAAAGTATATAGCCTAAATCTTGTTCAGATCAGCATTTGAAGCATTTATATAATAATGTTTGTCCTGAACTTTGGTCTTGACCATCCTCCAAAACTTGACATTACAGAGATCGTTGAATTTGAAAGTAAACAGATTAAGAACGTTGCTATATGACTTCAAATGTTGATTCTACGAAAAAATTTTACACAAATCAAGCTGTATTGACACTATCAGAAGAAAACTACACGGATCGGTAAAGACAACAAATTATGGAATATCATATTATCAAACGTAATGGCACGACGCAATAAAACAATTTGCCAGTTGCTTTAGAGTTGTTGTGTAAACGTATTTAGAAATGTTTTTACCAATGACTTGGCTATAATAGTCGTGTTACTTGATGTACCCTAAATCGAAATAAAAAACGCATTTGGGTACATAAAATGTTGAAGAAACGCAAAAATAGAGAGAATACCAATTTTATTATTTACTTGATAAAATTATAGTTGATTTAAAGAAAAATAATGCATTATTTAAAGAAGCCGTAACAGCTGAAGAAAAATTAGCAGTTTTTTTAAAGTATTTTATTTTTACGCAGACTAGTGAATTTGTAAAAATTTAACAAACGAGCATTTATTTATTTTGACATCGTCACACAACCGGTCTACAATTTTTAATCATATTTTAAATGTATTTAATTTAAAATATATATCCGCCTCAAAATACTGTAGCGTCTTGCTCTTTCTTGTACATCATACTTTTCTTTTAACATTAGAATCGTGCCGGTCATCTATTAACTGCTTTCGGGGGAAGTTTTGAATTGAAATGACGTGACTTCCGGTTTGCATCGGAAGTTCATATATAGTTAATCGGGACTTTCATATCTGGTCTCGGATTTCATTTATCTAACTCCGTTCTCGAGATTAAGGAAAAACAAACGGACGACAGTGGGAAT